GAGGAGAGGGGGAGAGGCAGGGAGGAGAGGGGGAGAGGCAGGAGGAGAGGGACAGAGGCAGGAGGAGAGGGACAGAGGTAGGGAGGAGAGGGGGAGAGGCAGAGAGGAGAGGGGGAGAGGTAGGGAGGAGAGGGGGAGACGCAGGGAGGAGAGGGACAGAGGTAGGGAGGAGAGAGGGAGAGGCAGGGAGGAGAGGGGCTGAGGCAGAGACAGAGACAGGGAGGAGAGGGGCTGAGGCAGAGGCAGGGAGGAGAGGGGCACAGGCCAGGAGGAGAGGGGGAGAGGTAGGGAGGAGAGGGGCAGAGGCAGGAGGAGAGGCAGGGAGGAGAGGGGCTGAGGCAGAGGCAGGGAGGAGAGGGGCACAGGCCAGGAGGAGAGGGGGAGAGGTAGGGAGGAGAGGGGCAGAGGCAGAGGCCGGGAGGGGAGGGGCAGAGGCAGGAGGAGAGGGGGAGAGGCAGGCAGAAACCAGGAAAGGATAAGAAGCTGGTTTAGATCCTCCATTGTTCCTAATTCTTACTGTGAATGAACAAGGATAACACTAACAAGAGTCTGCTCTGCGTGTGTGGCACTTACACATGCAGCCCTTGGTTATTGTGTAGTGAGGTGGGATTCCTGCTGTTCTGGGGTGAGCTCCTCTGAGGGGGGCCCAGGAAGGCACAATGGATCAAACTAGGTTCTCCGGTCACGTCTGCTGATTAAGCCCCCCAGAGTTTTAGCAGGAAGGAAAACAGAGCGTACTGATGAAGATGCAGAGAGGAAGACTGCCTTGTCCCACCTTTACCAGGAGAGTCAGGGATGAAGTGTGCAAGGCTAACCCATCCGTGCAGGCGAGTCAGCACACCCCAAGTTCATCTAGGCATCTCTGTGATCTGACCTACGAGGCCTTCAGAGTGGGGGAGGGCTCAGGGGTCAGGAGGCGCCCTCTTCTCCAGCCAACACTGAGTTTGGGTCTGGTCGAGTCACCCCAAGGTCACGGAGGTTAGGGGAGATATTTCTCAAAAAGCTGAGCAATTCTGCTGCACAGTGAGTGCTCACCACGTGGCACGCACGGGAGTCAGGGGACTTAGATTGCTACTGTGGCGACATGTGACCCTGGGCGAGTTTCTTCCCCAAATTTCCTCATCTACAGCAGAAGCAAGCTGGCTAGTATCTAAGATCTCCCCGACTGCCACGTCCTGTGGGCCCACACTTTCCGAGTTCACAGGGAAGATTCACAGAACCTCCGGATTGAAACTCACAGACTGGAAAGCAGCAGGAATTATTATCCCCAACTTACTGGACGTGGCCTAGGGCAGGGCGGCTCTTCAGACGCCGAGCAGAGACTGGGGAACCAGCTCCCTTGGCTTTTGTCACTGAGCTGGAAACATTTAACAAGCAACAAGCAACAGCTCCAGGCCCTGCGTGCACACTGGGGACCAGATTCCACTTACCACACAGCAGGCCACCAGGGCTCCTTGGGCAAATCCTGCCAGGACATCGCTGGGATGGTGCTTGTGGTCCGACACGCGGGACAGTCCCGTGTAGAAGGCCATCATGATCAAAGTGAACTGCAGGAGGGGCCGGAGCAGGCGGGCACCTCGCCAGGTGAAGCGGGCCTGCAGGTAGAGCTGGAGGGCGGAGAGAAAAGCAGACACTGAGTGACCCCCATGCACGGGCACTCAGGCTCTGGGTGGACACACGCTGCATTCCTGTTAGTGGAGCCCTCTGGACCCCAGGCAACGTGTTGTAGACACAGCGTTCAATTTGGACATGACCTTAAGCCTGTTATTTAAATGCAGCCTTACTTTTCAGACTAAAAAAAATAGCTTATGTAGGGAGGTAAACGTGGGGAGAGCTGGGCAAGACAATACCTATAACTGGCCATCCCACACTGCATAGCACGCAGTAGGCGCTTCATAAATGCTACTTTTCCTTTTATCTTCTCCTTGATGTAAGCTAATTACAGAATGATCACCGGGTTTAGTAAAGGTTTCTTTTATCCAGTTGATGGCAACTCACATAACAACCCAGTGAAACAGAGGTGTGTTTCAGTAGGGATTATGGCTACACAATCCCTGTACTAGCCGTCTCTCGGCATCGGCACGGAAATCAAATATCCCCAAATAAGAACAAGTTATTATGAGATTCGCAAAGAGATGTTCCTGTTTCAAAAGAAGGACAAGTTCCTAAGTTATTGCCTGGAACTGTGGATTTCGAATTCGAATATAAGGAAACACATAAACCAGCCCAACAATGGCACAGAACTTTCAAACAGAGGTTGACTGACAGATGAACTGGGTGGGGTTGAGGAGCAACCTGCAGAAAAATGGGCGGGGGGGAACCACCTCTGGCCGAAGCAAAGAAGTTGGATGACGTCAGCTGGGCATTGTCCCCTCCGAGTTATCTTGCCGCAGTTTCCTTTCTAACCTCTGGGCACAAGCTACGTCCCAGGTTCCTGTGGGAACTTGGGAAGTGAGGGGGGAAGAGGCAGGGAGACAAGACGGACTTCCAACTACAAATCAAAGGGCCGGAGAGCAGAGGGCAGGGGGCTGATGGCCTAAAGATAGACCCAGGCAGGGGCAAAGGCGTGACTTTGGCCTTCCTGAGACCAATGGACACCTAGTTTTTGGTAGTGAGGAAAGAGCAAGCCAGCGGTCAGTCTGGAGGAGACAGAGAGTGGACGACCTCAGAGTCACTGCAAGCCGCAGTGAAGTGCCTGGGACGGATTCTGCAACCTCTCAGAAAACTACGTACAGTAGACCCTCTGTAAGGGGACCACCAAGGGACTGTGACAAACTGGTCCCAGGAACCAGGCCTCCTGTACTGACACATCTGTCCATGTGGTAAACGTCCAGTCTATGAAAATTAGGTCAGATCAAGGAGGTGGCCAATGTGGAGAGGTGGTCAGCTAGGAAGGTTCTGCTGTATTTCTATTTTTTATTTTTATTTTTTTTTGAGACAGCCTCACTTTACCACCCTCCATAGAGTGCTATGGCATCACAGCTTACAGCAACCTCAAACTCTTGGGCTCAAGTGATTCTCTTGTCTCAGCCTCCTGAGTACAGGAGGTACCTGCCACAACACCCAGCTATTTTTATTTATGTGTTTATTTATGAGACAGAGTAAATAAAAATTCCTGTAGGAGTACTACAGGAACCTGCCACAACACTCAGCTATTTTTATTTATTTATGAGACAGAGACTCACTTTGTCCCCCTTGGTAGAGTGCTATGGCGTCACAGCTCACAGCAACATCAAACTCTTTGGCTTAAGCGATTCTCTTGCCTCAGCCTCCTTGGTAGCTGGGACTGCAGGTGCCTGCCACAATGCCCAGCTATTTTTTGTTGCAATTTTTATTGCTGTTTTAGCTCGCCAGGGCCAGATTCGGAAACGCCACCCTTGGCATATGGGGCTGGCACCCTACCCACTGAGCCACAGGTGCCACCTCACCCAGCTATTTTTAGAAGCAAGGTCTCGCTCTTGCTCAGGCTGGTCTCAAACCTGTGAGCTCAGGCAATCCACCTGCCTTGGCCTCCTAGAGTGGTAGGATTACAGGAGTGAGCCACCGTGCCTGGCCCTGGTTCTGCTGTATTTCAAAAAAGCTAGGTGCAGAAAATAGCAGCAACTTTATAATCATTTTGAAAGTATATAAACGTATTACTGGAAAATCTAAAATTAACAAAAAACTGCTAAGAGACTGCATTGATGTTGTCAGCTGCTAAATAAGTAATACAAACCAACTGTTTTTCCATCTATAAATAATAACCGGTTTAAAAATCTAAAAGAAGAGATAAGATCATCATAATAGCAATTATGATTAAATAAATAATAATTAACCTAGCAAGAACTGCATGGGGCCTCTATGAAGTAAGAGACATAAAAGACCATTTGGATAAGAAAGAAAGCTAGAATTTTTATTTATAAGAACACTCAACTTTTAAACTCAGAAGTTGATTCCTAAATTCAAATGGATTCCCATGGACATTTAAAAAGGTTCCATTACAAAAGAAAAGGGATACTTAACTTAAATCCTAAAAATGAATGGGCGTTTTGCTGGAGTTAAGGGGACATTAAGGAGGGTGTCTATTCCAGGCAGAGGGATGGCTTGGGGGCCTGCCACCAAAGTTCTCAAGAACTTCCAATAATCCAGGATAACTGGAAAAGAGAGTATATGGAAGTGATGAGAAATAGGGCTGCAGAGTCTAGCAAGGGCCCAGTTCATGAAGGGCCGTGGGTGTCAAATGAACTTGGCCTTTATTCAGTAGGCCAATCTTTGCCCAAACAGATTCCATGGAATTGTGTCATTTAAAAGAAGATTTGTGAATGCGCTATACTAAATGCTCATTTTTGTCATTCTTAATGCTTATTACTAAAGGCTCTGAGAAGTCCCACAGGGAAAAAGACTCAATTGACTTTTAATCACTATTTTCACAGAACACCTACCAACTGAATCACAATTGGAGAGTGTTACTGTAAGCAATGGTGAAAAATTAACTGGTTTTAAGTAAGGCGCTGAGGACTATAAAAAATCTGGACGTCTTTTAAGGGCTCACAGCAAGCGCGGTTCACTAGAGGCAACACCAAATTCAGTAAATCTAAACCTAGGCCAGCGCGGTGGCTCACGCCTACAATCCCAACACTCTCCAGAAGGCTGAGACAGGTGGATTGCTTGAGCTCAGGAGTTTGAGACTAGCCTCAGCAAGAGTGAGATCTCATCTCTACTACAAATAGAAAAAATATCCAGCCAGGCATTGTGGCAGGTAACTATGGTCCCAGCTCCTCAGGAGGCCGAGGCAAGAGGACCCCAAAAGTCTGAGGCTGCTGTGTACTATGATGCCATGGCACTCAAGCCCGGGCAACAGAGTAAGACTCTGTCTAAATAAATAAATAAATAAATTCACAGGCTAAAGGACACTCCCTCATTTCTATGGAAATGACCTGCCAGTGGAATCTGCAATGACGTATAGAAAGGCCCCTTCCTTTTGGGAATGGGGGATGGAGATGCTGCTGGTCTATCTCCAACTTAACTCAAGTCTTTAAGACAATGGCAAGTTCAAGGAACATGCACTCATCCATTTGCAGTGTGCCCACAATGGTTGGGTTCCCTCCGGCTGTCCTTGGCAGTGGACAGGGATGGGGTGGATAACAGAAAGAGAGCATTTTTTTGTTTGTTTGTTTCTTTTGCAGTTTTTGGCAGGGGCTGGGTTTGAACCCGCCACCTCCAGCATATGGGGCTGGCGCCCTACTCCTTTGAGCCACAGGCGCCGCCCCAAGAGGGCAGGTTTTAATCAGAAAAACTTCAGTGCGCCTCAGTTTCTCACACACAAAGTAGGGCAACAACTACTACCTCACAGGCTGTGTATGGGCTGGTTTGGTTGATGACATAGATTAGGAAGATGGCACAACATTCTACTCAATCAATAGGTTGATTTTATTCTTTCACCACTTTTCTTAATTTGGATCTCCTGGGCCCACGATTTTCCCTCTTCTCCCATGGCAGGCTCTAAGAAAATGCTTGCTACGAATCCTCCAACCCTTTCCCTGCCCCCTGCGTGCAGACTTTAGGTCGCTGCTCTTGGAAACCAGGGTGGGGCAGAGGAAGGGTGGGTTTCCCACCGGACAAGCCCAGCATCTCCCTTCACTGACTCAGATACTTATGGCTGGAGCTCAATAAAAGAGAAAAATAAATACGGGAGAGGAACTTGAGGAGAGAGGAAGAGACCCGTCATCAGAATAGCTCCAGGAAGGGAGGCAGCGAGTGCTTATGAATGAGCAGGGAGCAGGCGAGTATGGGAGGCTATGGGAAAAGAATTCCTTCAGGAGGCAGCCAGACATGGAATCGCAGTGAGCAGATGCCAGCTTGCTCCCAGCCACCCACTAGCAACTATCCTGTTTCTGGGGAACAGCTCCAGGGCAGCGCTGGTGTCCACAGCTGCGGATCTAGGGCAGCTATTTGCTTCTTTTTATTATTTTTTATTATTTTGAAACAGAGCCTCAGGCTGTCACTCTGGGTAGAGTGCTGTGGTGTCATAGCTCACAGCAACTTCCAACTCTTGGGCTCAAGTGGTCCTCTTGCCTCAGTTTTTCTATTTTTAGTAGAGACGGAGCCCTGCTTTTGCTCAGGATGGTCTTGAACTCATAAGCTCAGGCAATCCTCCTGCCTCGGCCTCCTGGAATATGAGGATTATAGGCGTGAGCCACTGCACCTGGCCTAGGGCAGTGATTTTCAACCAGTGTGCTGTGAGAGGATCTTAGGTATACCACAAAATTCTTAAAGATGATTAATTACTTTTAAAAGAAGTTCAAAGCATAGTTAAGCATATTTTTTTCAAAATTTTTTGAGCAACATAATTTAAGTGTGTTATAGAAGTATAGGTTCAAATGTGCCATGATATAAAAAGAAAAAGTCAAAAAACACCGATCTAGGGCAAAGTAGTGCAATAGTAAAGTGCATTTGGGGGCGAGGCAGCCCGGATTCCCTTCCTGCCCACCCCACTTACTAGTGTGTGGTCGTTTACCATCTCTAAAGCCCCAGTGTCCTTATCTGTAAAATAGATAGAACCTTATCTTCTCAGCTTGTCAGGTCAAAGGAGGCAGGCCACAAGGGAAGGACAAGCGCTCAAGGCACT